GCGACCAGGCGGGCCGCAGGGGGGGCAGTCAACGCGCTGCCCCCTTGGCGGCGCGCCGAGGGGGGCAGGCCCTCTCGGGTGGCAGCGGGGCTCCCGGGAGGCCCGCCGCGGCTTCGGAGGGAAGGGTCAGGTCGGGCATGTCCCACCACAGGCGGATTCTGGAAGAAACATCCGCCGGCCCCCTTGTGGGGCCACCAGGCTGTAGGCCGAAGCTTCGCAGTTTCCTGTACCAGTTGCAGCTTCCAGTTTCCACTGCAACGCCCTGAGCGTGTGCTCTGAATTGCTGGGGTGGGCAAAGATTGACACCCATCACGCAGATCGGCGGGGTCAGGGTCTAAAAACACAAGGGATTTGCCACATGTCTGAGATTCGGTGGCACCCCTCACGCAGATCGGCGGGGTCAGGGTCCAAAAACATATAGGATTTGCCACATTTCTGAAATTTGCTGACACCCCTCACGCAGATCGGCGGGGTCAGGGTCCAGAAATACTAAGGATTTGCTACATTTCTAAAATTCGGCGGCAACCCCCCACGCAGATCGGCGAGGTCAGGGTGCAGAAACACAAGGGTTTTTTTACAAATTTCTGAAATTCGGCGGCACCCCTCGCGCAGATCGACGGGGTCAGGGTCCAAAGACACATGGGATTTGCCACATTTCTGAAATTAGGCGGCACCCCTCCCGCAGATCCTTAGGGTCAGGGTCCAAAAACACAAAGGGTTTGCCACATTTCTGAAATTCGGCGGCACCCCTCAGATCGGCGGGGTCAGGGTTCAAAAACACAATGGGATTTGCCACATTTCTGAAATTAGGCGGTACCCCTCCCGCAGATCCGTAGGGTCAGGGTCCAAAAACAAGTGGGATTTGCCACATTTCTGAAATTCGGCGGCACCCGCGACGCAGATCCGTAGGGTCAGGGTCGAAAAACAAACAAGTCCCGACACTGCTTCACGGCGGCGCCCAGACCTCATGATTTAGCTTTTGCATCTCCAATTCTCCGAGACAGGGGGCCGGCGGCATGGGGCGAAGCCCTTACGGATAAAAATAGCCCCCCAACAAATGCAAAAATAGTCTCTCTCTCTCTCTCTCTCCCCCACAAACACACACACACACACAAAAAAAAAAGCAGCAACAACAACAACAACAACAACAACAATCATTTTAAGACCGTTCGCCCTTATATGCTCGAGTGTCCAATAACGCGTATTTCCCAAACCCTCGATACCCGCCCTCTCCGTCTTCGATCGAACCCCTTTTGGGGGGTATACCTTTCTTCCCTGCAGGCCGGGCCCCGGCAAGCGGCGGGGCGGCCGCGGACCGTCGGCCTGGCCAGCGGCAGCGCTGATCGGCGGGGCGGCCGCGGACCGTCGACCCGACCCCAAGAGGGACGGACAGGGGACGACGACGACGACGACGACGACGACGACGACGACGACGACGTCGAAGACGACGGCGGACGACGACGGCGACGACGAGCGAAAGCGAGAGCGAGAGAGAACGACAGCAGGGCCACGAAGGGCACGAAGTAGGCCACGAAGGGCGACAGCGGGGACACGAAGGGAATGCGTATGGGGCCACGAAGAGCGCGAACGAGCGGGGGCCACGAAGTGCAGATAATGCGGGGCCACAGAAGGCAACTATGGGGCCACTGAGGGTAGCAATTGGGCCACGTAGGACAATGAGGGGGACACAAATGGCGACAGCGGGGCCACGAAGGGCATGCACATGGGGCCACAACGGGCGCGACTCCTGGGTGCCTGGGTGTCGGGAGCGCGGCGCTTGGGCAAATTTCAAGACATTCCAACGCAAGGCTTTTCTTCAGTAAGTTGCAAGCAAGTCTCCAGCGAGAGCGCGACTCCAGAGCTCCGGGAGAGCGATTCCTGAATAAATTGTAAGGAAGTCCCAAGCGAGAGCGCGACTCCTGAATAAAATGCGAGGAAGTCTCGGGCGGGAGCGGGGGTCCTGCCTAAATTGTAAAGAAGTCTCAGGCGGGAGCCGTTGTTGTTGTAACACGGGGGGCCAGGCGGCCAGTTTGAGCAGGAAGACTTTCCCTGTCCAAAAACAGGGTGCGAGCGTCGAGGGGCACACTTTGATTAAGAAAAAACAGTATGCACCGGTGGGGGGATCAACAATAATTGTTCTTCAGAAATGAGAATTCAACAACAAATGGTCACCAAAATCGTCCCCAGACTAATTGCTTACCATGTGAATGTTCCTCCTGCTGAGGGACCTGCCCGACGCAAGAGAAGGATCAGAAGGCGGGACGCCATCCGAGCCCCCTGAGAAGGCCGAACCCTTCGTCCCCGGGCGCGCCGCCGAGACACGAGGGGCCCGTCTGGCCATGGCAAGCCTCGGCCACAGACAGGCTCCCCGACCTGGGTCTCCCTACAGGCGGACCGTGGATGAAAAACAGAAAATAGCCAGAACGATACGAAAACATAGTCCAAGCATGGTCAAGTGAAAACGATCCCATACTATCTTCTCATCACTACTGAATAGTACTCCTCCTGCAGAGGGACATGCCCGACTCAAGAGAAGGATCCGGAGGCTGGAGGCCGTCCGAGCCTTCGGAGCAGGCCCGCCCCTGCGTCCGGGGGCACGCCGCGGAGCCGGCGGAGGAGCGCGGGACACGGAACGAAAAGGGGCGTGTCTGGCCATGGCAGGCCTCGGCCACAGACGCGGTGAGGGCATTGAATGAGGAAACATTGGATGAGGAAGCCAGGGCCTGGAAGCCGGAGAACTCCAATCGTGAAGTGGGCGTGGACATCACTGCCGACCTCATCAGATAGGGAAGCCTCCAGGATCTGAAGCCCCCTGGGCGCATGCCTTCACAAACGCCCCCACCGTAGGTTCTCCGACCTGCATCCCTCCGCGAAACGTACGCAAGTGTTTCCCGCGGCGCGTTGGCATCCCCCAGACACTCCAAAATGCAGATGCCGATGCCGAAACACGTGCCTTGAGTTGCTCCGTCGGCATCCGCGGACCGCGCCGCGCGGGCAACGGGACATTGAAGTTTGGGGCGCGGGGGGGGACTTGCGTTAAGTTTCGCGGAGGGTTGTAGGCCTCAGGAGCGGCCCAGAAACAGGAGCCCCTCCTGAACCCAAAGCGGTCCTTATCTGAGCGTCTTGACAGTATGGAACAGATGGGGGGCCGCGCTGGCCGGGCGGATGTTAACGGGGGGGGCAGGAAATGGGATGCAATCGAGGGCTGCATGACAGCGGCCCCAAAAGGCCGCGTAAACTGCCGCCGCGGCCCCAAGAGGTGCCGGAGAGATGCGCCGTCCTCCACGTCCCGCTCGCTGCCCCCCAGCTCAGCTACTGCCAGAAAGAACCCCAACAAATCATGAACGAAGCCCCTGGCTGGCCACGGGAAGCGCCTGGGTGCCCGAGGAGCACTGGCGGAGCAGCCATGGAATAGGAGAACGAACAGTGACATAAACATAAAAACTCACTCGGAGGTCCGCGCAAATTTCTCGGATCGGCGCTGGACCCCGTTGGTTCCCCTATGGAACGAGCACCGTTTATCCGATCCCTATCCCCAGCGGTGTGGCCTGGGCCCCACTGGCCGTTTTACCCCCCCTAAATAGGAATATAGGCCGTATCCTTCGGGTCTCGAGGGGTGCATCCTCAACTGGGGGGGTAATTTGGCGGCGGTCTCGAAGAGGATGGGGATGGGGATGGGTGGCGGTTAAACGATACTGATAGGTCGGGCGTGCCCCCCTACAGGAGGATCTTGGACGAAAAATTGAAAATAGTCAAAGAATACCCCAAAATAATCAAAAATACTCCGACAATCGTCCCCCCGACTATATCTTCAACTGTTCTCTAACATGCCCCCTGCCGAGGGACAGGCCCGGCTTAACGATACCGATGCGAAGGACCCGGGGGAGCAGCGAGCCTCCTCCGAGCCCGAGCTGCTCCTCGGGCCCCAGCAGAGCTCCTGGCTGCGCGGCCGAGGCGGCAGGGACCGCCCTGGGGGCCCGGCACCCGCGCGGCGGCGCGGCTCGCCTCTGCGCGCCCCGGCCGCCAGCGGGGGCTCGGCCCGCGGGCGGGGGGGCGCACCGCGGGCGGGCGCGCAGGGCCAGCCGAGCGCGACGTCTGGAAGCAGTGCCCCTGGCCAGCCACATCAGGCGCGCGCGGGGACAGGAGGAGAGAGGAGGAGGAGGAGGAGGAGGAGGAGGAGGAGGAGGAGGAGGAGGAGGAGGAGGAGGAGGAGGAGGAGGAGGAGGAGGAGGAGGATGAGGGGAGGAGGAGGAGGAGGAGGAGGAGGAGGAGGAGGAGGAGGAGGGAGGAGGAGGAGGAGGAGGAGGAGGAGGAGGAGGAGGAGGAGGAGGAGGAGGAGGAGGAGGAGGAGGAGGAGGAGGAGGAGGAGGAGGAGGAGGGGGGGGGGGAGGAGGAGGAGGAGGAGGAGGAGGAGGAGGAGGAGGAGGAGGAGGAGGAGGAGGAGGAGGAGGAGGAGGAGGAGTGGAGGAGGGCCGGCCAGAGGGCCAGCCCTCCGGCCAATCCTGGCCAACGCCCCTGGACAATCCTGGCCCAGCCTCCCCGCCAAGCCCTCCTGCCACTCCTGGTCAGGGCAGCTCGTCTCACGAAGCACGATGTGCTTGGGCCCCGAGGGGCCCGAACACGTCCACATCCACCGCCCACGGAAGTCCAGGAAGATCGGCTTCCCAGGAGGTGGATGTGGATAGATCCCAGCCTCGGGGCCGGTCCAGGGCCTGGGCCGTACGGGCCTGGCCAGGGCCGGCGGCGGTGTGCGGCTGCCGCTTTCCGAGAACGAGATGGGCCTGGGCTGGGGAAACCATGAGGTGCCGATACGGCTAATTACTCCCAGGACCTCTCCCGGGGCGCGGTCTGACCAGGATCTCGAGGCAAATCCAGCTGTGGCGACGAGGGCCTCCGAGGAGGCCCGAACAGGGGAAAACGAAGGAAGAGAGTAGCGGTAGGGGCACCCTTGCCTCCTCTCCCGGACAGGGGGCCGCCGTCGTCGTCGAGCAGCGTCGGTCCTTCTCGGCCTCGAGCTTCCGCTGCTCCTCCTCCCGCTCGGCCACGAGCGCCGCCCGCATCTCCTCGGCCTTCTTGACCTCCAGGGGCAGGAGCGGTCGGGGGATCGACCGGCCCTCGACCGGCCGACCCCCCGGTCGATGGATGTCCTCGGTGTCGAGCCACGGCATCCGACCGGGAGGGGCGGCAGGGCCAGAGAGAGCCTCGCGCTCGGGGCTTCGGGCCGCGTCGGAGCGTGCGTCGCATCGGGCTGCCCGGGCGGTGCCTCTGCATCGTCGCGGGCCGCAAGCTGCGCGTGGACTGGGGGCGTGCGGCCAGCAGGCATGCTCGCAGGAGGAGCCTGCTTTCCTGATGTGGCGCGTCACGAACCCAGAGAGGAAGGGAGAAAAGCGATCATCAACCTGGATCTCAAGGCGCGACGGACAAAAGCGAAGGTTGCGAAGCGCTGCGCTCGGACACAGGCGCGGCACACGCTGCAGAGTGCCGGGGACACCACGACCTTGCCCACGCCATGGCCCTTGCCTTTGCCACTCTCACCAGCACGACTGCCGTGATCATCTTCACGAGGATGCTAGAGACTCGGAGCAGACTGAATTGAGACAATGGCAACTAAAAAGTCGGTCCCTGCTGCTTCCAGCCGTGGCAAGGAGGTGGCCCCCCCGAAGTCCAGCTACCGTTGTCGCAACTGGCCCTCGTCTGGGAGACACAGCGAGGGTGAGGAGGGAAGAGGAGAACGTGCGGCGGCGGCTGGTCAGAAATGGCCTCCGAGAGATCCTCGTTCACATCTGCGGCCCTGCGCGGCGTTCGACAAGTGAGCATCCCCCGCGTCCTGCTGCTGGCAAGCTGGCTCGTCAAGGACTGATGGCTGTACACGTCGTTCATTTCTAATCGTGCTCATTTCTAATTGTGCTCGTTTCTACTCATTCCTGGCCCCCTAGTGGCCAGGAAGAGGCACAGGATAGAACAATTAGAAATGAAAGGATCTTCGCCCCAAAAAAAATCAAAAAACTCTCGAACAAGTAAAAATGAACAGTGTGCACTGGGCAGAGGGCCCACTGCCAAGCTACGGTCAGGAATTTCTGCAACGCGTGCTGCGGCGGTGGCCCCAGCGGCACGCACACCGTGCCTTGCAAGCGGCTGGCGTCGCTCCGCTCCGTGGGGCGGGAGGCTCGGCGGCGACGACAAGGGCGAATAGCCCATGGGCGGGCATGAATTACACGCATTCGCCCTGACGCCTTGTCGAAGACATAGATCCTCGGCGCCCCTGGGTACATGAATTGCTCTGCCCCGGGCCATTCGCCCCCATCGTCGCCTCTGAGAGGCCGGTACAGGCTCGGGACGTGGACGCTCGGGAACGGGCAAGTGGCGCCAGCGTGTCGCGCCGAGGCGCGAGGGGCCAGAGCCGGCGGCGCGACACGCGGAGCCACCTTTCCGGGCCGCACCGCCATGCGGAGCGCCAGGCGGGGAACGACGAGGCCCCCCCTTCGGGCCCCGGAGGCGTCCTGGTGCACGAGGAGCGCCGGAGGAGCAGCCATGGAAGGGCCTGCGGATCGAGCTGCTCCTTCCGCTCGGATTCCTGACTGGGTGGCAGCAGATCTGGCGGCGCCCACGAGGCGATGGCGCGAGGGGAGCGGCATGCTGAGGAGCCGCGGTGGCCGCCTGGGAAGGCAGGGGGGGCTCCTCAGAAGGCAGGGGGGGGCTTCTTGGATGTCGCCCCGGCCCCCGAGAGGCCGCCGCAGAGGCCCCGGGGCCGCTCCCCAGGAGGCCGCTGCCTCCTCGGCAGCCCGCCGCCTTCTCCAAAGGCCGCGGCCCTCGCGCCAACCCCCTGGTGCGCGCCGCCGATCTGTGACGAGGTGGACTGGCAACGAGGGTGCGGGGGTGGGGGGAGGAGGTCGGAAGAGGCGCGCGAGAGAGGGGCAAAAAGTGACGGGCGGCTTTCTTCAACATCAGCATGACTGCCAGCAGCAAGCTGGACCCGTAGCGCCACAACATGTTCTAAAATGGAAAGATCATGTGTGGCAGGACTCGCTCGAATCAGCAACCACTGACACCAGCAAGACAGGACTGTAGTGATTTAAATCGTGATTTAAATCCGCCTCACACGGTGAGGTCTTGAACTCCATCGGGGTCCACCCTCAGCTTCGAACTGCAGCTGGGATAGAGCCCACGAAGCACGCGGCGCCAGAGACACTTCTTATGAGCAGTCATCTTTTGGTCACACCTGCCGCTGAGGTTGGACTTCTTCAGAGACCCAGGACCAACATGACCAGCGCACGGCGTGCAAATGTGCAGCACCTCGCCATTGTCACAAGGCAAGCCGACCACAAAATGGCCGTGTCTCTCCATCTCCCCAAAGTCCCAGTCCCCGCGCGGAGTGCGAGGAGGGCGAGGAGGAAGGGGTCGCGCGCGAAGAGCGGGCCTGGTCTAGAGCCTTCTCGCGCTGCTGGCGCAGCGACTCCTTCTCCTGCGCCCCACGCAGGGAGCGCGCGCAACAGAGAGCGG